TTTATAATGATACAAACTAAACACCATCTAAAGGGATTTTAAACAAATATTTTACACTTATTAGTACCTGAAAATTTCATTATGTGATGTACTCACCTTAATAGCCTCTATAAGAGCTTCATATGTATACTTATTATTTAATTTGACATGTGATGCTTGATGCCAAACCAACTGCAAGGGTTCACACATTATATAAAAATATTGAGCACACTAAAACTACCGGTAAAATAAGTGGTGGGTTACAAAACTAGTCTCTATAGTAATCAATCTTTATTCTTCCAAGTTTATATTCGTAATTCTCCATACTATTCTAGATTTAAAGTTCAAGTCTTTTGTGGTTACAGTTACTAATTGCTGTAATATCCAAGTTGTGATTCAGGTTTCTTGTGATTATAGTTAATTAAACTAAGTAATATTGCAGCTTTGTAGTTAGTTATCAAACGTTGTAATACTGTAGCTTTGTATTTCTAGTCTTTTGTGATTACAATTACCAACCTTTGTAATATTGTAGCTTTGTGTTTCAGGTGTTTAGTCAATACAGTAACCAATTTCTATTGTATTGTAGCTTCTTTTTGTATTTAGACTCAAACATTTTAATTTGAACCAGTAAAGTAACAAGAAAACTCCAAACTAGGAATAAACTAAGAAATGCTTCCTCTCTTAATAACAAGTGTAATTCTAAATCTTTGTAACAAATGGAAACAGGTTAAATAGAAGAATAACTTTTTTATATGATCAAAGCTATACAGAATGACTAGTCTTAAAACCTTCTACTATAAAACTGTTATACAGTGAAGAAACAATATACACAAGTGCAGAAGGTCATTACATAAAAAAAAAAAAACTTTTCAGAAGAAGTACAATATTAGTCCTCTTGTTAGCACCTTTTACAATAATTTTGCTTTAAATTCAGTCTATCCAGAAGTGGTGTACACTTTTAAGAGGACAGGAAAGTCCTTAGGAGATGTAATGAATTTACAGTTGGAAATATGTCACAATATGACCACATTTTCTAATTCCCACTTTCTTCATCAATGCTCAGTAAACCATATGTGAAGAACAATCCCCCTATTTGGTCAGGATATTAATACAGAAGCAGTAATAGTTTACTTTTTTTATCAATATCAGAACTAATGTGGAGCCCTCCAGTGGTATGCTTGAGGCCTATAATGATAAAATTTTGAGGTTCGGTTTCAAGAGCTGAAGAAAGTTTTTTTTTATCAAACTTTGTGAAAATAAAATCTTTATTTTACTTTGATCATTGATAATGGAACTGTGAGAATACTTCTGCCTGCTTATTTTCTTCTGCACTTACTTAAAACTTCAACTTTCTAAGAACAACAACAAAAAAAAAGAATGTTTATCTTAGAGAATTAGTATAGAAATATATTCACATTATGAGAAAAAAACAAAAAGAAGCAGAAATGATATTATGTAAAAAAAAAAAAATAATAGAAAAGTTAAGATCACAAAAAATAAGCCTTTACTATTGTTTCACCATCAGACAATAGTCAAGTTATATACTTTTTATTTCAACCTGTAAAAAACAAAATAAGCACATTGCTATACCTAAATCTTCTCAGTTTAGTTCTCACAGATTAAAACATGCAGAATGAATACAAGTCAATATTTAGCCCATCTTTGTTTTTAATGTTATAGATATTCTCTGTTAAGAAGGCAAGAAGTGACATAGTCTGTAACAATAAAATACTATAGTGCACCAGTTACTTTGTCAGTGAGATTTCATTATGACCGAAGACTATTTCTTGTCTGTTATTGTTAAAGAAACAGGTATATTGTAAAGATTAACATGGTTAGCTATAAATATTGTGGAATAGGGTTTTGGACCAACTTTGTAACAAAAGCTAGCCTGACTGTAGATAGATTGTATGAGTCTTTCAAGTAGTGGGAGGCATGCCTATCACATCTAAAAACAATCATCTTAACATATATAATAGAGTCAATCTAACTCTCTACCTATGTACAATTAATATTCTTTCTTACAATTCATAAAATAAAAATAGCTAGTTGCATATAGTTTAATTACAAATTCAGGTTTGTTGCTTAAGTGGAACATCTTCAAACCAGGTAAAATTACACTGAAACATACCTTTCTCCTGTCTTTTTTTTTTAAATGTAAAATTAAAAACAATATTTTTCAGATTGAAAAATGTAGCTCGACATTATCAAATCAGGTTCCATTTGAAACTGATTTCATTAACTGGATTAACTTCAAGTGCACAAGACTAATAAAGTGACTGAAAGCTTACAAGTTACTTGGAGCTCTGTCTCCAGCAACTGATTCCTATCTCTGTAACCATCAGAAACAACATCTCATGATGATTCTCATTGTGCATCAAATGAACAATATTTTCTTAAGCATTGAACCAATTAATAAGAGAAACTTAGAAGAAATGATATTTCCATTAATAACTTGTAATGCATGCTGCATTTAAATATATATACAGCATGTAAATTTTACTGAAGCATCCTCATTTTGGTTTTGTATCTCTTTGAAGTTTGTGTGTTTTAAGCTATATCTGCTTTTTTTTTCAGATACATATTTTCAAATGTTTACTTACAGTGATTCAAAGCTAAATATATCTCATTTGATATACCTAACTGATGACAAAAATATACACTTAGATGACAATCTATCAAATAAAAAACAATCATGAAAAGTTTAACAAGATGAAACATTTTGGTAGCCACACCTTAATACCCCGATAGTTTCTTTAATTCACTAAACATATCAAAGCCACATAGCCAGCAGTGAAACAAATGGAGTTACAAAAGCAATGCAAGTGTCTGAGGGGGCACGGGAATTCCATTCTTTTGAACTTGTATTGTAAACAATGTTATATACTCATCTCTTGTATATCTTTTCCTAACTAAATCAAAAACTTTTGTGACAAAATAAATATTCACTGGTTATTACAATTAACTGAATTCTTATCTCTTATCTATATTTCACAAGTTCCTGAAGAAGTCCACTTTAGCAACAAATCTAATTACTATGATAAAAAAAAAAAATCCTTCACAGGGGTTTCAGATTACATCCAAACCTTTGGTGTGTATATATATTAAAATCACTCTTCTTTGTAAAGCTGTACAAAGCACGTTATATACACAGACATTTCCTTAAATAAACACACAACTGTCTCCTGGTTCTGTACGTGTATAAGGAAGACTGTTGAGTACCTATAAAAATCTGCACACAGAACCAACTTGAAGAGAAAGAGACAATAACATCTACACAAATCTGATGAAGAACAACGTCTCTACAGATATCAACTTGCATAGCTTAGTAGAGCCTATGAATGAGATGTGTTCTAATATTAACTAATGAATGATGGTTATAAAGCTATAAAATATGGTAATAGTATGAATTTCTGTCACTATCCAAAAAACTCTAGATTATTATTTTGTTTTTCTCTACATATTTATATTACAAACGTGAGAATATAAAGTAATATCATCACAATAATAGAGGCCTAGAACCTCTGCATTCTATTTCTTGTTTAGTTTCTTCAACAAATCTGGCAGAGCAGCTTTTCAATGCTCATTGACACGATGACTAGCACTACAACTGTGGTTATCCAACATCAAATACAGAGAAAACAAACTGTAGAAAATGATGTTTTGTGTTTAAAGAAGCAGTCTCTTTTTGTATCACATCATCAAAGCTTCATCCACAAAGACAAAACCTTAACTCCACCAGTCAAATGCCAAACCAAGATCACAGTTTGTGTCTACGTAATAAAAGACTGCAGTTGTTTGAATTACTTTCCTAGGTTATTTATATTCTAAACTACTCAAAAACATTACACAAGCCTTCACATGAAAGACCAAGATATACTTACTTGATTGGATGTACATACACCAGTAGCTGCTTTACAATTCTTACTGTTGCTATTGAAAACTTTTAAGTCACTGTAGGTGAAGTTTTTTTTTTTCTAATCATTCCTACTTACTTGGTCTTTCTTGAATCCTTGTTTTTTTGTTTCTGTATATGATGAAGATTCATTCTGATATCATCTTTACAGAAGTTACTAAAACCATGACACAGCTCCACACAGGAGGAAGGGTGGCACAAAACATTAAGTATTTTCAAACAATAGCATGACCTCCCTATCAAGCAAGTCTCTCTCTCTCTCTCTATATATATATATATATATATATATATATATATATATATATATATATA